TAGCATCCTTAGTGATAAACACTTCAGTGGCATAAGATGATCTAGATTAGTCACCCACAATCATGGGTGTGCCCTGCAGCATGGCAGCAGGATTCAGTGTCAGAGTAGCCCTTGCTGACCAGCGATTTAAAATATTATCTGCAAACTACTGGGAAGCTTCAGGAAGAAAAAGCTCAACGTTCTTCTGTGGAAGAGGTCTGTCCCTGTGGTAAACAAACATCATGCTTTTTCTCTACTCCCTCAACTGGCAAAGAGATGTGCCCTCCTGGCCTACTCCAAATAATATGACTACTAATAGCTACACTTGAAAAGGATAGACTTTTTCTTTGAAAACACTGTTACATAAATATGATATTTCGTAACTCCCTTTACTATGACGTAAAGGACATTAATGTGGTAATTTGGCCAGAACTTCACAAGTAATTTATTTTAGATAAGCTTTTTTTTTTTTCCTTTAGGATAAAGATAACTTCCTTTTGCATGAGGAAGTAGGAGATACAGGCATTTATCGAACATTTTTCATTGTTTTCAAATGATTCATTTACACGTAGCCTGAGCAGAGGCACTCATTCTTCTGTACATACCCTCACATGATTAGATACCGTCTGTGATGAAACCTGCTGAGGTCTGACAGAGCTGTATGGAAAGGTGAAAGGTGAAGGTTTTCCCAGCCTCAGGGAGAAGGTTCGCAACACGGCCAGGAGACACAAAGAGAGAACAATCCTCCACCACACAGAGACAGACAGAAATTGAGGAATTATTTTGCCCAATCTCTGGGTCCTGCAGTCATGTAATTTATCTCCTCCAGCAACTATTGAACCAAGCTCTAACCTCCAGGTAAAAAGACCTGGCTATTCATTTTGCAATCCTCTCAGATCACCTAGTTTCAAGAAAGGTGCTGGGGTTCAGCTGATCTGTTACTTTTTGGCTACTTTCCAGTTTTATTATTTTTTTTAAAGAAACTCTTGAGGAGCATGCCACAGGTGTAATGAGAAAAGCATTCTGAAAAGTAGATGTCAAATGTCCAAAGCATGAAAAGAGTAGAATCAAAGAAAATCAAGGGCAGACACCATTTGAGCAAGCTACAGACAGACAAAATGGTGAAGGTGGGGATGGCAGGGGATCGTGTGGGCTAGGTACTTTCCCTCTCAGACCAACCTCACAAAACCTGATTTTTATTATTCAGAATCATGACTTCAGATTTGCTTTTAAAGTAAGCCCCTTGCTTTATGCACCCCAGCTTGCATTCTTTTCCCTGCTTGAGCAGGGTTCTGCAGGAAGATGAGTCTCTCGATCTCACCATCAATAATAATAACAACAAAAGTGTCTGTATGTCTATTTTCAACTCACATCATCCCAGAAACAGCACAATATATGTATGAGTCAGCAAACGATGGCATTCTTTGTTTTATATGTGTGTATGTATACCGGATGAGAAAGTTGCTACAGGGAGGAAAATTATTCAACAAAGAAAATTAAAATGCTCCAGCAAATTCAATATAGTACTTTGAAATTTACAACTCAAAGAATGGAAGTCTGATGACGTAAAATTAGCACTGGCAAGAAAGCACCCCAAAAGTGACCCTACAATTGAAAGGCTGTAAGCTTTTTTGAAAATATCTCACATGGGATGTTAACCTTTGGCTGAGCAGAGGTAGATGCTTTGTGGATAAGGACAGAGACTGTCCTATCTATGCTGCAGATTCTTCTAAAGGGGGTGCTCTCTCTTGTAGCCAGAGTTTTAAAGCTCTGATTACTAGAATCCAGACATGGCTCACCAAGATTTTTTACTGATTATGGAGAAAGCATACTGCTTTCCAGCACACCAAATATCCAAACCCACGGATCTGTCTGCCTTGGTCTCAAAGCAAGATTTTGCTTTACAAAACAGAAAGAACTGCTCAATGGGAGAAAGTGATAAAAAAGCTGCTTAATACTAGGGAAGAAAAAAGGAGATAAAATAATGAATAAAACACCTTAATTGAAAACCAGGATGTGCCACTCTCAAAACACCACTAAAATACTACCTGTTATGGAGATCAGCACCATCTGTCATGAGAACGTTCTTTTTGCATTTGGATGATTTCTCCAAACCTCAACTGTAATTCCTATATGGGCTTCCTTGGGCCTCAGCTCCCAAGAACAAATGTTAGCCATACTGTGTTGCTTATGGACTCTGTCAAGCAGGCTAGTGGACAACGAACAAAATCATAGTCTCGTTTGCTCTCTGAGAGCAGGTAGAGCCAGAAAATATCATCAGGTTTGTACACAAGTCCCCTCGTTGTTTTTTTTTTTAAATATTATATCTCCTGTTCAAACCACATGCTGCAGTTAAAGAAAACAAACGCACCACCTTCAGCTGCAGTTCCTGTCTAGACAGAAACGCTGTAAGCATATGAGAGCAGGGTTGCAGAAGTTCCTAGGGGCAAAAATCAAAAGCCTTCTGCACAAGTAACCAAGGTCAAAGAAGGCACACAACCCCTAAAAGCAAGGAATCCAACAGGTTATTTAAAGGATCCACAACTTGGAGATTGACTTTTTTCACCTCAGAGTAGCCGCAGACCCTGTGTGGCACATGTGGAGGGGTGGGGCTCTAAACTAAGCTGGAAAAACTCCCTCGTCTATCAGCAACTTGGGACCCTTCAAAGTGAGGGAAGGAAAAAGAAAAGTACATCAGCTTTTAGATTGGGATTGATCACATTCTATCCAAATTGATTAATTTTCAGTACAGTGACTCCAAGATTCTTCTGGATTTTAGGAATAGAAATTGTCAACACACAAGACAGGAGCACTAGTTTCTTTCTTTCTCTGGAGTCCTCATAGCTACGGGTGCACTCACAAACAAGGAAAGCTGAACTAACCTTGTGCTGTTTTGAGCAGTGTTAAACTCCCAGTAACTTCTAAAGATTGTCCAGGAGGCACTGAGGTATGATGTCCTCAGAGAAGATTTCCAATTGAGATGTGGCTTAAGCATCAGCAAGATCATTGCAGACCTCATGGAAAGAACTTTTTGTTCTCTACAACCACTGGTTCAAAATCTTAGTTGTGTCTTCAAAGATACATATCCCTTAAAAAATATTTGTGGTTATTAGTTTCCTGCTTGCTAAATAAGTATAAACTGTTGCGGGATGGGGTGTGTTGAAGATAAAAGATTCTAGAAACTGGGTTTAGCATCATTGTAGGTCATCTCAGACCTTTCCTCCACCCAGAAACACTTCCAGTACAAGAAGGTCTCCACTCTACTGACAGCCCTAGCAGCACACACACACACACACACACACACACACACACTTACTTACATACATAAAATTACCCTACCAAGTAAGTCAGTTCTCATAAATTGAGGAAAACTTCTCATCACACAGTACAACCCCATGACAAAACTAAACACACACAAGTTAACTTGGCAAGACTGATGGTATCAAATGAAGGTTCTGAAAATCCTGTAAGCCAAATCTCAGAAACCTTATAGGTTGTGAAGCCCAATCAGAAGCCGTTTCTCCAACAATGCAGAAAATACCATTGTCTGAAATCCTACCATCTTTTGTTAACCCACACTTTGCTAGCAACCTTCCAAGAATGGGCACACCAATGAAAAGAAGCAAAGTGGTAAGAATGCAGTCATCCAACAAATACGCTACAATTGATGTATAAACTTTAGAGAAGTCAAGGATAAAAGAAAATAATTATAGCAACACAGACTAAGACACAAGTATACTGGAGATAGCAGTTCCTGGCTGACCTGGGGAGTTAATTCCAGGGTCAATAGTCCCTTCCTAATCAGATAAGCTAATAGTTTAATTTACTGGGGAAAAAAAAAAACCTTCAGCATGGTCTCCAAGAAGCTCAACACGTGCAGTGAGGAAGAATTTTTAATAAGCAAAATGAAATTGCCCGCCACTTTTCCCACATCCTAATTAAAATTCTGGGGCAAGATTATGGCTCACAGGTCACTAAGAGTTCTTATGCAATTTGTTAAAGCTAACAGCTCCCGTATTTCAATGCAAACACATTATTAAAATGAAGGCACATAATGAAGAGCTGCAGGTCCTCCCTCAGTGCAGCTTTCGGAGCACACTGGAAAAGCAGGAAATGCTTCACAATTTTTTTTTTCCCTAAGATTTTTGCAAATCACACTTCTGCTGGGGTAAATTATTCCTTAGAAGAACATTCTATTTTTCTGCAAGTAGTATGGAGCTGCGGCTCTGTTATGCTCCTCAGAGAAATTGGAAAGAGACAATCAACCTAAGCAACTATTTTGAAAGCAACCAATGCTCAGAAACCTTGCCCAGTCTTTACTGAGAAAGTTGTCCTGCCTGTAAACCTGCCTAATTCTCTTCCTCCACTTCCAACACTGGCGCAAATCCCCAGCTGCTTCCAGGAAAGGAAGTTTACCCCTTCACACGGGAGTCCTTATCACCCAGAGACCAAAGTTTCCTAACGGGGTGTTGGGGTGTTTTATTTTAACTTCTTGGAGTATGGGAACTGAGGAACGCTAGGGTCAATTGTTTACTTCAGATATGCAGACACTGACCACAGTCTGGAAGATAAACAATAACGAACCCTTAGAGAAGAAACTGACCATATTTCTGATCCAAGCTCTCCATTTTTCGGGAAGAGCCAAGTACAGGCTTTAAGGGCTTTATCCCCAAAGCGGCCAGTGCTATAAGATTTAAGTTCGGAGTCCCGCAGGACCTAGAGTCCTAGGAGGTCCCGCGAGTTTTATAGGTGACTTGGGGAAGTTTTCGAGGAATCTGAAAGGGCATGAACCAGGAGTCAAGGTGCGCACAAACGGGATCCAGATCATTCTAGATGAAATAAGGCATACTAGGAGTCTCACGAGGGCTCGGGATTCAGGGCAAACTTTGCTACGGAAGGAACCCTGCTGAGTTCCTCCAGGGCTAGTTGGGAGAGTGCGCGCGCGGGGAGGAGCAAGACACCATAACGTAAGTGACTACGCCCTGGGCCGAAAGGCGACCCTTCTTATAGGGAAAACTTACCGCATGTCGCTGTAAGGTCCTGAATAGTTCTCCATCCAGGGCCCCATCTCATTTTTGACGCAGTTGGTACTGGGATAGGGTGGTCTGCTGACTACGCCGCCCGGATACCACACTTCGGGTGCCGGGAACTCGCCTTCCTGGCCCGCCATCCCCTGGGGTGGCCGAGTGTAGCCATAGGGAACCATGGCCCCTGCCTCACCACTGGGGCCACTGCCGCTGCCCCCGCCACAGGGCCCGTACAACTGGCCTTCTTCGGAAGTGAAGAGATTGTGCCAGGAAGAGGAACCAGAGGTTGAGGGCGAGCCGGAGCTGGGTCCGGGTGCACCCGCGCCGTGCAGGCTTGCCAGGTCCCCATAGCGGCATTGCGCCGCGGCGGCCGCCCAGGCGCTACCATAGTCCAGTGGGTTCTCCAGCTTGATGCGAGCATGGGAATGAGAAGGTGGAGGAGGAGCAGCCTGCCCAGGCAGAGTCAGGGGAAAGTTGTAATAGTCGCGAGTCTGGTACGCTGCCGCTTCGTCCAGAGTTCCAGACTTGTAGACAGACAAAGTGGACGGCATCTCAAGTGTGCCGGAGCTCAGAGCCTCGCCGCTGGCAGAGCAGCCTAGACTCTCGCCCTCGAGTCCCTTGGAGTAACCTCCCTTGAAGGGGGCATACTCAGCCGCCTCTTCAGGGCCCTTACCTGGGCCATCGTCTAGCAGGGAACCTTTGCATTCCACCAGCGGGAGGCAAGGAGTGGGACGCACCACGGGTGGCCCTCCCAGGAGCGGGGCATACATACAGTCTCCCCGAAGCTGTTCCCCAGAACTCAGATGCTCCAACGCTTCCACCCCCAAGCCCATGGACACTGACACTGCCTTACACAACTCTTTGGCGCTGTCAGAGATGGCAGAAGTGCCCCCTGGGTAACTGTCCCTGGACGAAGTGGAAGCCCCGGCGGCCTCTCTAGCTCTCGCGCTGCTACTGCCTTCGGACGCTGCGTCCTGCTGCTGGTGGTGGTGCGGCAGCGGATGAAGCAGTTGCATGGTGCTGGCCTCGCTCAGGATGTCTTTAAGGTCAGCGGAGCAGCTGTTTAAACCCGGGAAAGTGGGGCCCAGCAGAGACAACGTGGATGGGGCAGCTGAGTCATCCTGGTCCGGAGGTATCGGTGGCTGCGGCTGCAGCCCCTTGCCGGCTGCTGCTGCGGCTCCAGTCTCTGGGATGCAGCTGCTTTCGGGACGGCGGCCCTCGGAGGCCGACTGCTGAAGTGAAGGCTGTGATCTCTCATCCAGGGCCAGGTAGCCTGCGGGACCTCTGATCTGGGCTTGAGGGGAGCCATCCTCACCATGCTGCTGCTGCAGCTGCTGTGGGCTGGTCTCCGGCGCCGGCTGCTGCTGCTGCTGCAAGCTGGCGCCGGGAGGTGCTGCACTCAAGGCGTCAGGGTGCCGGGGGTTCGGGTGCTGGATCACTTCGCACACGTTCTGAAACAGATTCTGAAAAGCTCCTCGATAGGGCCTGGACGGTGGCCGGGGGTAGATCCTCCCGAGCCCCATCTGCACCTCCATCCTTGAGCTTGGCTGAATCTTGCACCTAAATCCCTTACCCTGCCCTCCTCTTTGCTGGTTCAGAAGAGTTCAACAGGCTGTGACGTTGTGATAGTTGCTGCAGCCAGCTGCCCACCTGCGTCCCTACCTGCAAGTTCACTTGCAGGAGCAATCACGCAAAAAGCGCTCAGACAACCCCCCCAAAGTCTTGAGCAGCGGAAAACACGCTCTGGACACGGTCTACGTTGCTAAGCTCAATCTGTCCCTCAGTACTTTAAGTATAGATTCACAAATCGCCCATGTCTTGAAGGGCAAAAGAGGAAACTCCTCTGCCTTTCAAATTCAGCGTCCCTGAAGCAGGTGCAAATAAGAATTTAGTTTTCAACTCCTTTCGTTTCGGGTTTGGATTGATCTGGGGATACTGAAGCCCTGTTTTCTTATCTTCTGACCTCTGGCTCCGCGCTTGGGGTATAGGGGGTGTCAGGAGGGGGTGGAGGCTGGGAGAAGGTTAGGGGCGCACCGGAGCCTTCCTGGAGTGCCACCTAACTAACTAGGTCCTGTCTACGGTGCTCAAGTCGCTTTCCAGTTACCGGACTCCCAAGTCTTCTTTGCAACGTGCGACTAGCTAGCTCACCCTCTCTCCGCCAAAGGGAGTTTACCTCTCTGCAAGCTGGTTGGCAGCTCTAGACTGACAGAGGTTGAAGGGTAGAGGGTGGGGGTGCTGAAGGAGCCCGGCCCGCCTAGGCAGTTGAAAAAAGAGGAGACCCCCTGAGTGGGGGTGGGGGGATGGGGAAAACGGGGTGCAGGGGAGGAGGACAAAGGCAGCCGTCAGTCCTACCGGCACGCTTCTCTCTTCCTCTGAGTCTCTCTGAGCAGCTTTAAAAAAACTTCACCACCGAAGAGGAAAAGGCAGCGCTGGGGCGGCGGCTTCGAAACCGCCGCGCTGCAAGAGGCGGTGGCGGCCGTGGGAGTTGGGCTGGGGTTGTCGCGGTGCGTCCCCTCGGCTCCAGTTGGGGCACTGAGCGGCAAAGCTGGGCGGTTTTCCCTCTGGCGTTGTCTCTGCCTCCCAGGAGTGCTCCGGACCCTCCGGCTCTCCCAGCAGACTAAGCTGCCCGAGCGCTTAGCGGTGGAAAGCAAACGCAACAGTTTGGAGTCAGGTTCCGCCCCCCCTGCCGGGCCGGCCTCCTTGCCTTCCCACCTCCTTTCTCCCTCCCCTCCCCTTGCCTCTTCTCCCCTCCCCTCCCCGGCACGCGGCAGCTTTGGAGAAACAAGTGCTGGCGTTGCGCGAGTTTAGCGCCGCACAGGCTCGCTTTCGTTCTGGAGAACTCCTCTGCTCGCGGACTATCGTCTTCTTTCAGCGCTAGGGTTCAGACGTCAGGGCAGAAGCTTTAAACGGCCGCTTTTTTTTTTTTTTTTTTTTTTTTTTTTGGGAGGGCTGGGCTACCAGATCCCCGGAAGGCCTCAGCACTCGCCAGATTGGCTCCTAAAACCCAAGCTCAAAACAGACGCTGGGGGGAGGAAGAGGGGGAGAAGATAGAAGTAGCAGCTCCTTCCTAGTGGCTGCCAGGGATTCTTTTCAGGGCCTAAGGGGACTCCAGGAGGGGAGAAGCACCTACACAGTGAAGGATAAGCCGTGGCCCAATCCGAACTACGTGTTATCCCTACCCAAGAGGGATTGGGCCGAGTGGCTGGGTGCCATTTACCCTGGGAACCCAGGATCCAGAGAGCCTCTCAAGCTTGCTTTTGTACCACGAGTTCATACCTCTGTGCACTTCTCACCTGTCCTCACTTGCAAAATGAAAATCACTCACACACCAGCAGGCAAATACGCAAAGGCCAGCGACACTTGCCCTGTGCACAGAATTCTCAATTTTGTCCAGGACTTTACAAATGTTTGCTATACACAGTTACTTAGTTTTCCAAGTGTTCTTTGACTGCTTTAAGCTTTCCGACCACACTATCAAAGGAATAGAACCCTTGTAAAATCGGCTGCTTTTTTTTTTTTTTTCCCCAATCTGGTTGGACAGCTTTGGAGAGTAATATGGCATACTGCAATTGCTCCTTTGCGGAGGACATCCCTTAGCTCTTAGTAAAGATGGAAAAGCAGGCGGGCCTAGCAGGGCAGAGTAAATGGATGGGTAGGTTTCCTGGCTTTTCAGTTCCTTAGCCTGGGCAGAGCTCTCCAGGAGTCCCGTGGACATATTCACCTGGGCTCTTTCACAGTTTTAAAGTTTATAGTAAAAGGCTTGGTGGCTTTATCGTCTGCACTGCTAAACACCGTGCCATTTCCTTACCCTGACCAAAAAAAAAAAAAAAGGTAACTCAAATGCAGACAAACAAAAAACACTGTAAAGTTCAGGAAGTCATGCTTAGCTTTGTTTTCCAGATAAACAAGCTGAAGCAGAAGATAATTTGCTCCGTGCTCCACCCTGCTCAAACCTAAAGTAGTCCTGTATGTCACTGCTGTGTTAGCCAAATGAATCAATATCATGGGCGCTTGGAGCCGGCTATAAATGAACATTTGCAGAGCACAGAGGCCCAGGACCCTTTACCTGAGGTGTTTCTCACAACCAGGTGAAAAAATATCTCCCGTTCAACAATGGGCTTTCTACATCTTAGCTGCTGAACTCTAGCAGAATATTAAACCTTCGGCTATAAAGCAAATAAAAAAATATATTATCACAAAAGTTATAAAGGAAAGACAAAGGAAAGGGAAGGAGGATGGGGAGTATCCTAATATTCTTAGAATTCCATGAACTGCATTAAATCTGATTTCTGTATTATAATCAATCAATTAATTAAAACTGGAAAAATACTAAGAGTTTTTACATGCCATTCCCTCTTTAGCATCACAAAAATTTAGATTGAAAAGATGATTAAAGCAAAAACCAGATTTATCCTTTGAGCTTTAATGACTGCAACTTTGTTTGCTTTCCTACAGTTAATTCTGCATTGCAAAGGCAAGGGAACTTTCTGGAAACAACCTTGTTGAGATATACTTGTCAGATAATCATAAAATGCACACAAGAGGAATTTTCAACATTTCATTGAAATGCATATAATAAAAAGATTAGGCATGTCAAAAATTTCTTCTGTAAAAATGCATCCTTCATGCCATTTTTTATTGGACTTTGAGAAGCATTCTTGTGTTTAAAGTTGCATAAATTGATAATTTTTGAAAAATATCAATAGCATGTACAAACACTTGTGAAGTATCACCAGTCAAAATAATGAGTGTATTTATCATTCCCAAAATGCCTTTTGGGCATCTTTGTACTTCTTCCCTCCACCCTTCCCATACTCCCATCTAGGCAGTCTGCTTTTTGTCAGTGTAATTTAATTTTCATTATACAGAATTTTGTGTCTGTAGACTATACAATAGCTACTCATTTTAGAAATTGCTTTATTTAGATGAAGTGAACAGATTTCGTGTAATTCACATATACAGGATTAAGAGCATAATGGTACTCCTTACCACATCCTCCCCTTCTCCCCAAACTCCCGCCCTGCCTTTGTTATTTTTTTCTTTTTAATTCTTCAGTGACTTTCAACTCCTTTTATAATGACAAACTTGACCCTCCACCAAATGAAGGATTCAGAAAATAGTAAGTACAAAAGCCTCTGTAACTCAGCAGGATACACCTGCCCCATAAGCAATAATCGAATCTCAAAATGTCAATTTCACTCATATACATTACAGTTCTTCTGCTCTGTGTATTCATTACCACAGATCAGGGAAACAAGATTCTTGATTTTTTTTTTTTTTGTATTTTTGTAATTCCAATTGCATCCATTTTATTGCACAATACAGAATTTCATTCTTTTTGATAGCTGAGTAGTATTTCCTAATGTAAACATACCAGAATTTCTTTATTCAGTCAGCAGGGGATGGACATCTGGGTTGATTCTACATCTTAGCTTTTGTTAACTGATGTGCTATAAATATGGGGGTGCAGATACTCCTTGGTACACTTAGAGCTGATTTTGCATAAGGAGTAAGATGGGGGTCTTTTTTCATATGTCTTCACTTCAATATAAAATTTTCCCAGTGTCATTAGTTGAAGAGACTATTGTGCCTCCGGGGATTTAATTTAGCTTGTTATTCCAAGATTAATTGCTTGTGGATGTGTGAATTAGTTTCCAGGGTTTCTATTCTGTACCATTAGTCTACATGCCTATTTTTGGGCCACTACCAGGCTGTTTGAATTATAATTACCCTGTAGTATGTCATGAAGTCTAGTATTATAATACCTCCAACTTGTTTTTTTCTAGAGCTTTGTTCGTTTGATTGTTCATTTATTTAATAAGCTGAGTGATAGAGAAGAGAGGCAAAGAAACTCCAAATGGCCACAAAGACTAGGTGTCGGTGAGATGGAAGACAGGAGCCCAGGACTCTAGTCAGGTCTCCCACATGACTGGCCATCTTCCTATGCTTTCTCAGGCACATTAGCAGGGAATAATTTAAGATGGAGTAGCTGGTCCTGCAACCTATGCTGAGAGGTGGGATGTGAACATCCCAAGTGGCAGTATCCCCCATTTTGAAGCTTCAACCATTGCATGTTTCACTGAATATAACGTCTTTAACAGTTGACCTAGATGTTCTGGTCTTCTTTATTAGTGAGTAGACTTCCACTACATTGCTATATATTGTTGTACCAGATTTTTTCTTTTCATTTGTTTTTTGACAAATAATTGAGCTCCTTCCAGTTTGAGACCATTACATTAAAGCTGCTATGAATGTCTGTACAGAAGATTTGTACAGATACATGCTTTAATTTCTCTGTGGTAAATAGTAGTAGAATGAATAGGTTACGGGATGAGGTATGTATTCAGCTTTTAAAGAAATTTCCAAATTGGACTTCCTAAGTGGTGGCACCATTTTACATTTCCATTAGCATGAGATTTTCAATTCCTGTGCATTTGTACTGAGGCTTGTTATGGTCAACCTTCCTGAATTTAGCATTCTAATTTTATGTGTAAATGCTTCTCATTTATTTTACATTTTCTCCAGGGAATAGCAATGTAGACAATTATTCATGTGTTTACTTTCCTTGTATATAAATTCTTAGATGAAGACTCTGATCCATTTCTTCCCTTTTAAAAATTGGGTTGTTTGTCTTTTGTTGCACAGTGTTTAGTGTTATTTGTGGATTCAAGACATAAGTCCTTTGATAGAAATATTATTTAATGATACTTGTTGTCTTTGTAGTTTGGTTTCATTGTCTTACCAGTGTCTTCTCAAGAGCACATGTTTACATTCTGATAAAGTGCAGCTTGCCAATTTGTTCACGAATATATTGTACATTTACTATCAGGTCTAAGGAAATCTTAATTCTAATAAAAGATCACAAAGATTAGAGTTGTGTTCTCATGCCAGCACTATGGCTAGGCTTTCACTTACATGTGCAGGAATCCAAATAGGCACCGGTTCTTATCCTGGCTGCTCCTCTTCTGATCCAGCTCCATGCTTATAGCCTGGGAAGACAACCCTGGACTCGTGCACCCACATGGGAGACCCAGAGGTGGCTTCTGGCTCCTGACTTCATATCAGGTCAGTTATGACAATTGCATGCATTTGTAGAGTGAACCAGCAGGTGGAAGATAATCTCTGTCTGTCCTCTCTGTGACTGTGCCTTTCAAATAAAAAATAAGTGTATGAAAAAGGAGTTTGTGATGTTTTTGGTTATACATCTAGATCTATTATTGATTTTGAGTTCATCTTTTACATGAGACCTGGAGTTTTGTCTGTAGATATCCTACATCATTTTCTGCCTAATTGCCATTGCCAATACTCTATGGTCAGTAGAGTTTGTGTAGAAGGTTATTTCAAATAGGCAAAGCTGGTCATATAATTTATCCATATGAGTCCTGTTACTGAGGAGTAGGTGTTTTAGTGCAAGGATTAATTAAGCATTTAGGGTGCCTACGTCACCTATTGGAGTGCCTAGTTTGTTCTGGCTCTATTCCTAATTCCAAATCCCCACTAATGT